ATTATGAGTGGGGACAGAAGCCATTCCCTGCTCTTGCCACCCCCTAACCCCAACATGTCCCAAGTGGATATTTAGTGCTTTAGGACAAGGACGACTCTTGGCACACATTTCGAAGATTGGCTCACAGCCATTTGTTTGAAATGCTGATTCTGTGCCACCAAGTGTAGGTTTCTGGTGTTCTTCTGTTCCTGCAGCTAATTCTCCTCCGATTCTTTTATTACCTGTACCAGCAAGGGAAAAGACTAGAAAACTGGAAAGAGGTCCAGTTTTGTGTATGGATTCAGGGTCTGCAATAAATAGCAGGAGAACAATTTGGCAAAGTAAAATTTGCTTTTCTGGGTATCAACTTGCTCAGTTTCAAAATCAGAAGGTTGGGCTGTTTTATTCCTGAAGCCCGGTCCAAATCTTGAGATTCTTTAAATCAGGTGCCAGTGGCCTAATTGCTGTAATTCTCTGGATCCTGGAGTGTTCCATATATGATGGCATTGCTCTTTGAGCACTCTTACTATATCTGAATGAACCATTTTAATACTATGTAGTTCTGAATTTACTCATATCTGAATTGACTTAATTCACTTATTTAACAAATATTTAAGTTCCTCCTATTTTCTAGGCCTTCTGCTAAGTCCTGAGATACAGGGTGAGGAAAACCAGTACTTCTTGCCTTAATGAGGCTTACAGGTAGTACTGAAGAATAACAGCTATGATTCAATGCCTTAAACATCTTATCTAACTGTTTAAAGACAGAATTTGTACGTTGGCATTGCGATTGTGCCATAATTAGGCGCAGAGATGTGAGACTAAGAATATGTTTAAACTGTTTACAGGTATTTGGCTTTGCATTAACTTAGTTATTTACTAAATAAATATTTATTAAATATCTATGCTATATTAAGGGCAGGAGATACCAACCCTCATAGTCTTGACTATGAATAGAGGTAACTACACAGAAATAAATAGAGCTAACTACAGTGAAAAGAGTGATGACTGTCATACCTGGAAAAGTGCAGGGACTAGGAGGGCCTGGACATTTGAGGGTTTAAATTTTGCTTTTTTTNTTTTTTTATTTTTTGTAAATGAATTATAGTGATTTAAAATGATCTATAGTGGTTTGAAATGGCTCTAGTAGTTACTAAGGTATAACTAATTGAGAGGCTGATGTGTGGAGAAAATCACTCAGCTGATTGCTCGACATTTCCATCTCAACTTGGGTTTGTTAGCCAGTGATCATCATGGCAAATGTAATAACTCTTGTGATGTGATTAAACAAACAGCCACCCCCCAGCCTCCAAAACAAAGAAACAAAAAGCAATAGCAGCTTAAAAAAGTTGCTTCTTTGTGAAAGATAGTTCCGAAAAGAAAGCTATTTGTAGTGCTATAGGAGTATTTTCAAATTATATTCAGAATATGTCTACTATTGGTTGGTAAGTCTTTGTGACTTTACTCATAGTAGATTCCAGGCCTACAGCAAGGGTTTCTTAGGGCAGGGTGCTTTGGGGCTGGGGTACTATGTAAATAAGTTAGTAAGGAATTGGGATATCTATAAGTTAGTAAGAAGAATTCATTGGGCATGAAATAAAGGTATGTTTTAATAATAATGATGACTGTCATTTATTGAATGTTACCATATTTCAGCAGGATGAGAAAGGTGCTAATGTTAAATATATTTTACATATTAGAAACGTTGTCTCAGAGAGATTAAGTTCTTACATAAACTTAAATTATGGGAAAGTGGCAAAAGTCAGGATTTTAATGTAAGTATCTAACTGGCAAGCTGGCACAATGTCATGCTATCATTTTTAAAAAAAAAATACAAAATAAAAGGAATTTACTATTAAAATAAATACAAGGGGACTGCCCGGTGGCGCACTCGGTAGAGTGCGGCACTTGGGAGCGCAGCGGCGCTCCCGCCGAGGGTTCGGATCCCATATAGAGACCGGTCCACTCACTGGTTGAGTGTGGTGCGGGTGCGACACCGAGGGTTGCGATCCTGTTACTGGTCACGAAAAAAGACAAAAAGGAAAAAAAATAAATAAATCCAAGTCTAGAGAAAGAAAATGAATGAATGAAAGAAAATAAAAGGAAAATAAAATAAAATAAAATATATGAATCTTTAAAAACAATAATCCTTGGTAATATGAGTGAAGTATAAAATAAAATATACAAAATTTTGATGATAGATATAT